GGTGCGGGGCGGGCAGGACCTGCGGGCAAGGCTCACAGACGGCCCTGCGCAGCGCAGCAGAGAAAGGGGATTCTTGGGCCAGGGTGGGTGCACAAAGAGGAGGGTGGAAGACACCCGCCATGCTGGCGATAAATGGAAGGTCTCGTGGACAGCAGGCGTGCCTGGTGCAGGGCTGACGTCCCGCATCACCCCTCTGTTCAGCCCATGCCTTGGATCCGCCCTTCGTAGGGGGCGATTGGGGCTTCTCGAGGTGTCGTTTCAGGCACCCTGCAGCCTCGGGCAGCGCTCGGGCACCAGTGACATTCAAATCACATTTCTTGGGTTTTCATGGAAACAGCAGGGACAGAAGCGTAACTTTATGTACAAAATCTGGGCCTCCACATGGGATTTTGTGGGGCTTTGCTCTTTGTGGAGGGTGGCTGAGCACTGGGATAGGTCGCCCAGCAAGGCTGTGCAGTCTGCCTCCTTAGAGATACTCAAAACCCATCCAGACACAGTCTGGGGCAACTGGCTTGGGGTGGCCCTGCTTGAGCAAGGGTTGGGCAGGACGTCCTCCAGAGGTCCCTTCACAGCCCAGCCACGCTGGGATTCTGTGAGAGCAAAATGAGGCTGGTTTTACACAGCGAAGACACAGTCAGCTGAGCTGTCCTGGGTGTAGCAGATCCTGGTGGGGACCTGGTTCTGCAAGTGTCCGTCTGCTCTCCAGCCCACTTCTGCGAAAGGATCCCACTTACATACCAGTCCCATGAAAGAAGTTGCTTGGTTTCTCTTTGGCCGGCTCCTCGCATGGCCGTGGGGTGGGCAGCTCTGGCGGGGCCAGGGCAAGCAGAGGGGTCAGGCTGTGGGTGTGTGTCTCACGAGTCAGGCACGCTGCGGCCAGAGCGGGTCAACGGGCCCTGCCCTCATCAGTGGCCAGAAGGGCTGGTGTGGGCGTCCCAGCTCAGCATCTGTGCCACTGGGCGTGGAAGGAGGAAATGTAGCTTCAGAGCAGGGAAAGGGACCCTTTGCTTGCCCCAAGCTCCCAGAGCACTTGCTCTTTTGTGGCTGGAGCTGAATGCCTAAGGGAAAGCACAGGAAGGTGCTTGTAGTGGGCAGGTGTAGGGTAATCCCTCTAGGGCAGCAGCATCTTCCCTAACAGATTGCCTGCAGCCTGGAGCAGCATTATTTTTGCTCCCTGTCAGAACTGCTCTGTTTACTATTCTGGAAATTTTGGGTATTTTTGTAATCCAGAAACGCTTGACCCATTTTGAATCACTGAGTGATCTTGTCTTCTGTAACAGCCTTTAGCCCCAAAACCACTCCTTTCTTCGGGGTTCAAGCTCCTGGGCTCAGCTTCAGGGGTTTCCAGCTAGTGGGAAGAGGCATTGCCACCCACCACCCCCACCTACAGACATCTGTTCCCCTGCTTGTCCCTTTGACATTCTCTGTGTGATTTTCCATTCACTCCTAGCGCCTCCAGCATGGTTGTGTGTCTTGCTAGGGACACACAAGGAATGAAGGTAAGGAGTGAGGATGGGCACGCTCGCTATGGGGTGGGTTTGTGTTTGTGCAGGTTCCTGAGGCTATAGTGAAAATTGTGAGCAGACTCTGAACTCCAGCTGCAAAATCTGACTGGAAGGAGAAGCTGCGTGCAAGAATGCCTGGCTGTGCATCCCAGGGTGCTGCGCTGAAGTCCATCAAGCTGGGTGTCCCTCTGAGGAGTGGTGTGTGCTGGGCATTGCTCTTTCCACAGCACCTTTGGGGGGTGATGCACCAGCACCCCTTGGGAGAGGAGAGCCAGACAGAGCTGTCCTCATGCAGGGCCACCCAGGGGCATATTGCATCAGGTGCAGGACAGCTTTTCCTTCTTCCACCGGGCTTCAGAGCAGCGGTGGGTCCATGCCAAATTTGTGTCTCTCTTGCAGGTGCTCCCCACTCGACCAGCAGTACCTCCCTGCACTCAGAGCGCTCCATCAGTGGCATCAACCTGGTGGGCTTCAGCTCAAAGCCAGACGGCATGCACCAGCGCTCCTACTCCGTCTCCAGCGCAGACCAGTGGAATGAGGCTGTGGCTATCCCTGGCAGCTGCCCCAACCCCTGTAAGTAGCACTTCTGACTCTGCTCCCCTCAGCTGCAGCAGGTGGGGAGGCTTATTTTGGTGCTGGGGTGGTCCTGAGCTCTGCCCTGTGGCTGTGAGCCCAGAGTTTGCTCACAGGTGTCCGACACAGCCTTTGGGGCCTTGTTGGGACTCTCCACCTTCGTGAGGGTCAGCTGGCGGTGTCCAAATCTGGGAGAGAAGCTCTCCTGCCAGGCACAGTAAAGCAGTCTCCCACCAGCCCAGGGATGCTGCTCCACAGCAGGACTGCTCTGACCTCTCTCCTCCACCTGCCCCACTCTCAGCTCACCCTGCGAGGGACCACCATTGCTTTCCCCCATCTCTGCTCCTCATCGGCACCCTCAGCTCCCAGATTTTGGGGCAGTTGAACGAATAGGAGTAATTCCTGTCTCTGGAGCACACACTGTGCGTGGCCCGCCCCCTCCCCCCACGCTCACTCGCTCTCTGTGATGTTTCAGGACAGTTGAGTGAATTAAAATAATTCATACATTTCCCAACGTAGCCACTTTGCCGAATTGGAAAATAAATGCTTTTGTGCTGCATTCATCACTCCTTCGTTCCTGGCTCTGCCGCCGCACTAAAAAAGCAGTTAAATGCACATCAAGAGTGGAGGAGCCATTTCCATGCCTGCTCGCCCCTTGTAGTTCTCATTAGCGCGGCAGCCGCCCCCCCGCTCGGTCCCAGGGGCTTTCGCAGTTTAAAGAGAGCCTCTTTATGATCATTACCGGAGTCCGACTGTGCGGGCGCCATTTGCAGCTGAGGAGGCTCCTCATTTGTAACTGTGAAAAACTATCAATTTCAGCGCGCCTGATGCAGCGGCTCCATCATTGGCCCCATCAGCTCCCTGCTGGAAGCGAATTAATCAGACTGTTACTGCTGATGGGGCAGCGCAGGCGACGGGAGCGGAAGGGCGCAGCTCTGAGCATTAATGTGCCGGCAGCCCCCCC